CAGAAGTCTAGAATAACCGGAACATTGTTTATATTGGGAAAATTGTCTCAGTTTTCTATTTTTGCATTGAAAATAATTGCAAAAACGTTTTACATCAAGCATTACATTTGAAACGATGTAAGAGTTACTTCATTCCTTTTTTTTCCTTCTAATATATACCCTTTTTTAATTTTCTAATTTGTTAAAAAAAGTATGAAAGTTCTGCCAATAAGACGGTACGGCAAATTAGTTTAGAACTCTATATATACATTTCATATCTGTTTTGTTTTCATCCTCAACTTTTCCTTTTTTTTAACGCTACCTTTTCCACTATCAGTTTGAATGTATTTGTAATTTTGTATCCTGATCCACAAAACGGAAATTTCGAGATAATTCTCATTGATTTTAAAATGCTGATTTTGAAACTAAGTTTTTTGAATTTATATTATCACTTCCTTCTTCTGGAAAACATCTCAACATATAATTAAAGATTATATCCTGAGTGGAGCAAGTGTTATCGATAGAAAAATTTACAGTTTTGCCAAACAAATGACCTGAGTGTATAATAATTTCATGAAATTAATTTATTTTCAAAATCTGAACTACACTTTTAAATTTGAAGCGAAAGATATGATGTTGGTTGTGAAAGGTGTGTTAGTTGAATTTGTATTACTATCTGTAGAGCATTCTAGTTGTTAAATGACTGTTTATTATCTATTGGATTTATTGTAAAACTACGGAAAAATCTGGATATACAATCTCTTCCAGAACAGATTTTATCAATGTCATTACTCATAGAGACAATGCATTACGTAAGTTGCATGATGTTTTGTGTTCTTCTTGATGAACATTTGTATCAATATCATCTGATTTCTGAAGACTTTTTTGATAAATTATCGGAGAAAACACGTTGGTCATTTTGTTCAATTTCTATTGTGAATATTACTGTTGACTCTTGTTCGTTTAGGTGGCTCAAAAGATCATTATGATTCAGATTCCAAAGAGCAAAAACTAATTTCCTCCGACTATTATTCAATATCTCACAACTATTTGTGTTCAGAAGATATATTTCTTGAGAAACAAACTTTTTGGTTTTCTACTCCTCACACTCAATACAAAAATGTAGGAAAGAAAGGGAGAAAGCAGGTTCAAAATAAAGTTACAAATATGTGTAGATCATGCATACAAATTATTTTTATATATAAACTTGAAGAGACACAACACTGAATTGCACAAAAGAAAAAGACTTTCATTTCTCTGAATTGTAATGTCGCTACTTCCAATTTATTTGTCGAAATCTTAGTCACCCATCAAAGTTTCTCGGTGGAAACTCTCGCGACTCATTTTACGAACTACGCAACCATCTAAACACGTTTAATGTTGGGGAGGGCCAGATTATTCGAAATCTCTCAATAAATTCATCGGAATGACGTGGCTTCCGTACGTGACTTATCCTGAATTTCCCAGCGCAATATCTTTGTCTGCCGCTATAAAGTTTACCTGTCTGGAAACCTTGGACTGCTGCTCCTTCTCTTTGTTTATAGTTTCATATAAAATAGCGGACAAATCAGCACAAACCGTTATCGGAAGGGAAGCTGAACTGAATCACACGGCCGCAGGGTATGCGTAATCATTCCACCTTTACACCGCAATTTATCAAAATAGATGAGTTCTTTTTTGTGACGTGTGTCGCGTATTATAGCGCTGAAATTCTACTTGGACGAATTCCAATTTTATTAGCTTTGTTCTGGGCAATGTAAAAAGCGAGTTTTGCCTTGCCGTCAAAGAAAGAGTAAATGAAATACCTCTTCTAACAATGCTGGCAACTGTAATTAATAACTTGGGATGAATTATCGGTAGAGTCTACAGGGTGATTTATAGTTACAGTTATAGTATATATGTAACGGTTCGTTGGAGTTGTAATAATGTAATGCAGGACTAGGTACTCCGAGAACCGTCTGGGACTGAGAACAACATTTTTTTTATTCGATATTAAAATTAAAAAAAAGTCAGTATGTTCCGAACTGTCAATAGAAAGACAAAAAGAGTTATTATTCTTTGTTTATTACTCGATTCTCTTCAAAAGTCTTCTTCTTTTTTTGTAGGGTCATTGTCTGTCAAAAATTTAACATTCATCATTGCAATTATATGTTTATTTATTCAAAATGAGTTATTACCTATAATCATGAATACATTTTCCACAAAACTCACCGTTTTTGAATAATCAACATATAATTTATGACTATTGAAATATCTTAAAAACTATCAAAGATTCGATAAAATGAAAAATGAATTCCCTACAATAAATGTTCTTTGTTTTTTGTACAAATAGCTTTTTTAAAAAATTGGACACCAAATTCTTAATGTAATAATGTAATGTACTCAAGTCCATAATAATGTATTTTTTTAATATCATCCCTAATGAAGAGGCGTATTGTCGTTTGGTTTTTCTAATAGGCCCAATGTTTGGAAAAAATGTTCCTGAGTTATACAGGTTTCATTAATTTTTTTGGATGATTGATAAGGAGAAGATAGTTTCAAAAGTTTGTCAAACGCTGAAAATTGGTGAATTTAATATGTGATGGTTAGTATGAACACGCCTAAAACAAGTGTTGAGGTTTTGTAAACTGTTAAGTGAAAATCTCCAATAAACTGTTAATTTATCAACTATACGTAATGAATTTGCTGTTTCAAGGAATTGCTATAATTTGCAACTTGTTGCGGTAAACGGAAAGTTTTCAAGTATAATTCTAAATGTAGATTTTGTACAATATTTTCTAATATTTTGTAACCTCGCTTTGTAGTATGGAAATGAAAGTGAAACTGGAAAAAATCCCTTTCAAGTTTTATTTCATTTATTTTTCATAACATTTTTTTTTAAACGAAAATATTTTGTAATTAGTTTTGTAATTAAATAATTTTTGACCTCCCCTTCCCTGCATATTAAAACAGCGTATAATACCACTTTTATCACTATTTCAGTGAAAACAATTTTGACTCACATGCCTCAAAGAATTTAAAGATTCATCCAAAATCCAACATGTTATAGGCTTTTTTTGAAAATTGAAATAACAAACGTATACAAAAGGCAAAAACTTTTACCTGGGAAACATAATATTTATTCGCATTATTTTCCGTATAGTCTTAGAATCGTCTTTCTCACAAAAGTGAGAGAAACATGGCTCTAAAAATTGATTCAAAACTTCGTATCAGTCATCGTTGAAAAACTTTTTCTTTTGTAATTCTTCGTAATTCTTCGTAAAGAATATTCTTCTTATAAAGAATGAATAAATACAGAGTTGCAATAACATATATTCTCTTCTAGGGAAAAATACAAAAGAAAATTCTATCAATTCCAACATTACTTGAATGAGTAATAAGACACAATTGTTTCAACATTCCTTATTCCATTTTTCTATATCAAAATATGGTTTTCCGCTTCTCTTGAAAATAAAAATCGAAAGTCGTAAAATATACCATATTTACAAAAATATAAAATGTGAAATCGGTGAATAATTCTTTTAAAATTGCTCCATTGTTTCTTTACTGGAAACCATATTTAGCGCTATAAAAATTGATCTACCTCAAAGTCAACGTACATCAATGAAACCATTCAAATAGCGTCGGAGTAGATCGATAAATTATTTTAAATATTCTGAAAGGAGGTATGCCAGAAAAATTGGAAGTCACCCAGATAATCATGAATTTCGTGATTAGTTTGTTTCGTGTTTAAACACCGAAATCCAATTAATGAATACAGGATTTATAGTGATACCGTGTTTAAAAAATGGCTTTGAATTCAACGTAAATTTGGAGCTGTCATTCAAGTATTTATTCAATTCGGTTTTTCATTTATAGTATAATCATGTCATATAGAGTCAGCTTTTCTATTCCTTTCGTAGGTTCTATTTTAATTCATGCGAAACGTTTTGAGATTCAACATAACTAATTAAATTAAATATTATGAAGTGAAGCTGTATCTTGTTCTAACCTTTTGTCATAATACGTTTTGAGATAATTCATCGAAACTGGCCTGAAAATGCCGTGAAAACTGAGGAAACTGTAGAACTGGAATGAATACCCATACAGAGTACCTGAATACTCAAAATTCACAAACAATAAAAAAGCTGATGAGTGTGCTAGAGACGCATCATCAGTTCCATATTTCGACACTGAACCAACTGTGTGGGTATCAAAATCTGTGATACGGAACCAGATCAGGAAATGGGTCAATAAAAAAACATAAAAAGTACTGGGAAAATGCACGTAAGAAAGCATACGGGAAAATCTTAAAGGTCTATCTCAAAAAATAACTGTGGAACTGGTTCAAACCAACAGGTATCTGCTCAAAATAATTACTAAACTAGTCACTGGATATTGTACGTTTACAACAATCGTTTTTCTTATGGAAAACTATTCGTACGTACATATGCTTGTAGGTACGCATACTTTATGCTTTCGCGGAAATGTAAACAGTCTGTGTCTAGCGGAAAACCGCATATTGCGACCATTTTGCATAAAACCACTTTGTGAATTTTCAAGAGTATGTCCAACCGCATATCTGTGTGGTCATTACTATCCAACTGTAGGTAGAGGATATAACTCTGTCAACGATACATTTAATAGGAATGCTACTGATGCAAATAGGTGACACATATTCTTCAACTGTTCCTCATCGGAGTGTTGGTTCTCGAGTTTGCAGAAAATGTATTTATTAAAGTCAAATATAATATATTCTACAGTGGAGAGCCAGATAAACTTCGTCAAACAAAAACACGCGTCAGTTACGTGAAAATAAATTGAAGAGGGTTGCAATTTATAGCCAGTCCTAAACTGCAGATTGGGATGACGAAATAAGACATTTGATCACGTGTTCAGCTGTGTTTACTTTGAGCTTACGTTGAAAACGAATAGTACCATTTTCTTCTTTTTGACTAACAATTATAAACAATATTCCCAAATATTGAAAGTTGTTATAATTTTGTCATCAACGCAATAAATAATTGCTTTGTTTTTTCCAGCCTCGCCTCTCACAAATGGTGTAATAAAAGAAGAAGACCTCGCCTCGACTCCCGAATACTTCATAAAATGTCCTCAATGCCAAAAAGGATGCCAGACTTTCCAAGCCCTCAAAGAACACATGGAATCTTCCCACGGAGAACTCTCCATGGGTTTGGACGCCAGTCTTCCCATAGCTAGTGCCGTGTCACCGACTCCTATCTTGGCTGGTACGGGTGGTCCCTTCGGTTGTTCACAGTGCACCACTTCGTTTTCTTCTAAGGACCAATTGGAAAAGCACGAACTGTTGCATTCGCCAAACGCACAAGTGGTAAGCACATATAATTATTTATTCATCCCTTCCGGTGGTTCACTTATTATCATAAAAATATTCAAATATAAGTGTGCATTCTTTGATTGAACAATATGTATAGCTATTCTTCATATGAAAAAAAATATTACTACAGAAATATTTTTTCAGGAAAAATCCAAGGATTAGATTTCAATCAGTTATAAAACTTTCCTACTATATTCGTAGAACATACATAATCTAAATATTTTTTAGTTATTTGAAATACATTAAAGATCACCAAAAATAAATGAATTTGACATGAACGAATATTTTATTGAACCAGAAAAATAACTGGACACAAAATTATGGAATATTTAAAACCATCGAAGCCCAAAACCAGAGCATTCAAAATCTGATTTCAGGCAGCGCTGTGTCGAATTGCTAGCTAAAAGTTTAACATTTCGTCCAGAAATATATACGAGTTTTACAAATACAAAGATCAAAATAGACCTGAGAAGTCTAACTCAATGGAAAATATCACCATCCCCTCAATTTAAGTTATTAGTCATGTTCTTCAGTAATATTTGCAACATGTAGATGATGTCTTTAACCCCAAAGACATATTTTATCGACTTTCTCCAGTTTAAAATAGAAATACAATTCATACAAACGTTACTGAATTTATTTTACTTGAGTGTAAGGCTAGCCGCACACCGGCGAAAATTGAGTCTCCAGGAAAACTGAATGTGTTGGATGTTTTAGTTGCTACAACTATACTGACTAATCGTGTGTTGGTTCTCATTATAAACAAATTTGTTTAATTTGTGTATGCCTCAAAATTAATATCATTCATGAATTTCTGATTTATTATTTATATTATGTGACACTCTATTTAAATGAAGGGTATGACAGCTTTTAAAATCTATTACAAAAACATTGTACCCTGATACATTTAATTCAAATTAGCGTGTTAATTTTACAATTTAAAATCGTTTTTTTACTGATCAGAAGAGTTAATTATTGCTGATTTGAAGAATTCACAGATTTTTAACCTGCTCTTGTGAATTATTTCATAATTCGTCACCGATAGGTATAACTTTTCAAGTACGATCCCAATAAAAAGACATTCATTTATTGGGTTCATTGACTTTTCACAATTAAAATGAACCGGGATCGGCGTTTCAAATCAGAATAAGAAGACAAGCTATACACAATTGACGTAACCGTACAGAAATATAAAGGATATTAAACGACAGATGACTTCGAAACGGCTCGGGGAATATTACTAAACATAAAATGGGTGTCTAGTAAATAATTTAATATACATCGTGATTTTGCAAAAATATTTTGCAGATGTTTTTAATGTATTTATTTATTTTCACGGTATTCATTTCTAGGAAATACATAAATTAGGATTGGCAATGCATGGCAATTTATGCTCGCGAGTCAACTTCATAAATACTGACAGTTATTATGTTTGTGGATACGAACAGGAAATAAATACAACCTAACGAGTAAATACATAATTGAACATTTTAGATGTACGTTTTAGAGCGAAATTCTCTGAAAGAATTAGCTAAATCAATGAAAATCATATTAACTCGTTTTCCTTTGGCATAGTTTATGAAAATCACAATTTGAATTTTTGTAAATCAAACTAACTAAATATCAACTAAGCTAACAGGACCGCATTGAGAAATAAAATTCATTTTTAGGCCATAATTTGAGTGTAATTTTGTACTCTATTCCTCTTCATTTAACGAATATGTCCTAGGTTCTGCTAACTTGAATTTGAACTCTTTGATGTTTCACTAAGAAGGTTAAATATGTTGAAAGTAATTGAAAGAAATATAACAGTTGAAAATATGCCTAACTGGTCTCTTTACAAGCCAACCCTTTGAAATCAAACTTTTCCACAATTAGAAGACTAACAACTTTTCAAAATTTTTATTCATTTAAATATTCGCTAGAAAACGTCATTAAAAATTGGACTACCTTATTAATATTTTAGACTATTTTTTGACAAACCTGATGTAATAACAAAATGCAGGAAAGGTAGGGTTTTATATTGGCATTACCTAAAAATTAACATTATATTCAAAGTTCTGTAATAAACATATTCACTTCTGCCTCGTTGAAAAATCCCTAGATCCATTAGTAAAATAGGACGGTCATCATCCTGCTTTGGAAATAACATGCGAACTGAACTTCAAAACGAACTTAAAGAATAAATTTGCTTCATGTCTCCAAGATGCATACAATTTTAAAAAAGCTAACTTTCCGCTCATGTATGAGCTGATCCTCAATCTCGATTTGACGTTTCTAAATGCCAGTCTTCACTTTTATGAAAAATTTTACAGTGTATTTGATCGCTGCGTGCCAAAATTCTCGATAAAATCTAAAAATAATTATCCAGCCTACTCTGATGGTGCATTGATAAAGAAAATTCGAACTAAAACAAAATTTTGGTGTAAATACAAAAGAAACGGCGACATTCACGCTTTTCACGAATTCAAACGTCTTCGGGCAGAAATCAAAGCAGCCATTAGAATAGCTTATAAAAAATTCATTCAGAAAACTGAGAGCGAGATTATCCATAACCCCAATAAGTTTTGGTCACTCATTAACAAGTCATAAAATATTACATGAAGGCAAGCTACTCGATAATCCCTCAGATATTCTTGATGGTTTTGCAAATTTCTTCAGTGGTTCTTATATAGTGTCAACATCAAGTGACCATGCGAACAACAGTAGTGATATTCCCAGCTTAGCAATAAAAAACTTTAGTATTGAAGATGTTTATCATACCCTAAAAAAAAATAAAGCCTAAATTTACTGCGGGACCTGATCATATTCCAGCATTCATCATTAAAGATTGTGCCTCAGCTCTGGCTGAACCACTAACCACAACAACAACATTATTAGCCCCAATCAACATGGTTTCATGAAAGGACGTTCAACCACCACGAATCTTGTAACAATCACTCAATGTATTGCAGAGGGTATTGATTGTCAGTCTAAAGCGTTCGACAGACTTGACCATTGTATCCTGCTCAACAAGCTTTCGACTTTTGGGTTATCCAATGACCTAATCACCCTCTTAAAATCGTATTTTTACAACCGTAAGCAGTACGTTCAACTCAATGGCCTCAAGTCTATCGAATATATAGCCACATCTGGTGTACCACAAGGATCAAATCTAGGACCCCTACTATTCAATATGTTCATTAGTGATATCGGAGCTGAGATTGATGTCAATTTCCTTTTATACGCAGATGACTTGAAACTATATCACAATATAACATGTTCTAATGGTTGCGAACGTCTCGCCCTGAATTTAAATCGCGTTGCTACATGCTGGTGTCGAAAGAATAATCTATCTCTCAACATATCCAAATGTAATGTAATGTCTTACTCACTGAAAACCAATCATAAACAATCAAGTTCTGGAGCGTCCTGATACTCTCACTGATCTAGGTGTTACTTTTGATTCATCCCTCTCTTTCAATAAACATATTGACACTACTCTAACAGCAGCTTATGGCATGTATGGATTCTTAGTTAGAAATACAAAAGACCTCGAAAAAGCTCAACATTTTAATTACTTTATTTCACTTTTGTTCGATCTAGGCTGGAATATGCATCTATCGTGTGGAGTCCCTACTATCAGGTTCATATAAATCAACTAGAAGCCCTACAGAGGCGCTTCCTAAAATATATGTCTTTTGAACTAGAAGGCACGTATCCTACTGTAGGAATACCCTATGGAATACCCTATTATGAATTGCTTGTAACTCACAATTCTTGTAGTCTCGAGGTAAGGCGTAAATATTATTCATTTCTTTTTTTATTCAAGGTCATAAACAATATCATCACCTGCTCTCAACTGTTACATATGTTGAATTTTTGGGTTCCTAGACGGTCATCTAGGAATAGTGCCACATTTTATCTCAACACTCCGCGTACAAATATAATGAAAAAATCTCAAATTTATACAATGTGCGATACCTCTAATTCTGTTAGTCATGTCCTAGATATATTCAACTGACAGTTCTGTTTTTATTTTATTTTTAATATAGATTCACAAATTATATTATGTAAGTACATATTTGTAAATGCCACTGTTACTTCCTATTCTGTAATTGGGTTCATCCTGTAGAATAGTGTATGAAATATATAAAATGAATAATTGTGAAAATTACGTTGGCGCCACTTTTTGATTGATTACAAGCCTTGGCCAATACCCTTGTGGCACAACAGATTTTATAGCGGGTACTTTCACGATGTTATATGTTGTAGTGTCAAATGTCACTTGCTGTGCTCAATTGTATAAAATTCTAAATATCTTGGCTTGATTGCTGTTTGACTCGTATTAATGTAAAGGTTATGAGGGCCCAGGTCAATTGTTGTGTTTACGTAACATTACCGTTGGACGTATGAAGACATGAGTAATTGTTTTGTCCTCACAGTCACAGCTGTGTCAAAAATTGCCCCTTATTAATAAAGGAGGCCTTTTTTCACTTGACCTCTTCAATTAAGGCTCGAAAATAATTAACGCGAACTTATCTGGATGCACAGAATGAGGTTTTTTCTCATGGGTTCGCAGAGATAATTTCATGACTCATTGGTTTGAAATGCCTAGAAATGATAAAGACGAGGATAGAAATTATAAATCTTCAACTTATTTGGATTTACCTCGTATAAATATTTCGAAGTTCTTACAAAATATAGGTGTAAACACGGCTTATAAAACCAATAATAACTTAACAAAGACAAAAGAGTTTGGTGTCAAATAGATTAGGAGTTATAAATTGTTATGAGGACCATGTCCGATGTTCTACTTAGGTCAAACTGGAAGAACCTTTATAGCATGCATAGAAACAACTTCCAGAATGGAAAAATGAATTCAATGTATGTTGATTACCGCCTTACAGAGGGACACGAGCTCAATCGTGATTCACAACTCTTCATTTCCAGAATAATAGTTTGAAACTCTACCTTCTGGAAGTTATGAAAATCGGTATATTAAAAAATTCACA